GATTCAAAAGTACAAGGGGTTGAGGGAAGAAGTTGTCATGATTGGACAAGGTCTTGTTCCCATTGGTCACACATGAATATTTATCTCAATTCTCAAGATATGGAAGTGGTTTTAGTGGCTATGAGTCCTCATCATCATCCTCAACAACTTCTATTCACAAAGAAAGAATGTTGGCACAAGAAGTTTGTTCAAACTTGTCAAAGTTCCTCAAAGCATTCTGTTGATCTAGAGGCTAGGGTTTTGAACTTAAAAGGAGCATATTTTGCTCACCTTTTGGTATTTTTGAGTGATTCCAAAGACATATTTCTCTTCAAAGAATTACCAACAAATAACTTCAAAAGTTACAAGGATTTTTCATGTGGAAAGAACTTGGTGAAGAAGAAAGATTACAAGTCATCCAGATAAATCCCCAATTTTCCATATGTGACTTCAAATGGTCATACCTTGGTCAATTTTTATCACCTTGAGTCCATTCTTTTTCCATGATGATCTTTAAGATGTTTACTTTTTGCCTTCTTTTATGTGCAAAGTGAGAAAATGGATGGAAGTTTCCTTGAGAATACAAAAGATTATAGGTCATTCCATGATTTTTGGCCAACTTCAACAAGTCATAACTTGCTCACTTTTTGGATATTTTGAGTGGTTCAAATTTCAAAATGTCATTCAAGAGATCTACTTCATTCCATCTTTTTTGGTAAAGAGCAAATTCTAAGTGGAAGGCCATGTTTGGATACAAAAGATTATAGGTCATTTTTGAAGAAGAATTTGAAATATTTCTAAGTATGGAAAGTCAACTCTTTTTCTACAACTTTGACTCCATGTAACTTTCAGCTCAAGCATCCATTTGATTCCATTATTTTTCCATTGCAAAGCTTGTAACCTCATCTTTCCAAAGCATCAAGAATTATGCCCTAAGACCCCTTGAGTTGGAAATTCCATGGATTTGAATTTTGTAACTTGAAACTGAATTTTTCAGAAAGTCAGAATTTTGAAATCTTTGTTTTGGATTCTAATCACAAGTTTTCCACGCGTTTTTGTTTCTAAACATGATTAGCAACTTGCTAGATGTGATTAGCATCATGAAGCACACGATTTAGCTAAGTTTTGATCAAAATTGAGTCACACTTTCTTCATGATACAGACCCACACGAATTCCCTCCAAAACGCACCATTCACTCTTCCTTTTGATCCCATTTGCTTCCCTATAAATAGAGGGTCATTCCCCATCCATTTTCCCAAGCTTAGAGAGACAAGAACACCCTGCCAAAACTTCACACGAACCCACTTTTGTTGAATTCAGTTTTTGAAATTTAAGCTTCCTTTTCCAAAATTCTTTGTGCATTCATCATCCTTGAGCATCATACAAACTATCCAGCACTTAAACCAATCAAAATGACCCATAGTTAAAGCTACAGAAGTCCAGTTTTAGAGCTTCTTACTTGAACTTCAAAAAGGTAGAATTCTCCATCATTTGGATCTAAATCAAACACTAATTTGTTCTACTCATTTGTCTAATTCTAATGCAGCTTACAATTTTTAAATCCATTGAGAATTGAGAGAGAAATCCCAAATTGAAGGTGCTCGCTATTTTCTGAGTTTTTGATTCATAGCTCTCTATATACCTTATATAAATTTGGCGCGATGGTTGTGTTAGAATCGTCTTGAAGAGACAAGTTCAATGATACTTGCCAGGGATCCTAACTTTTCCATTTGAAGGATCTCACAAAATCCCCATTGCAGGGTGTCTGGAGGTTGAAGACGATGATATGTCTCATCTCAGCCAATGATAGCGTGCTAAGCGTTTTAATTTCATTGGTTGCCCTTTTTCCGATCCCATGTGTATTTCACTAAGGTCCATATCAAGCACAATGCGTCTGGTCCATTGGATTAGCTTACTAACGTGTTTTGACTATGATCTGATGGTCCACATCTTTTTGGTTTTATTTTATTTTCTGATTTTATATTTTATTTGATTAAATTTTCAAAAATTCATAACTCTTTTATTTTTTATCCAAAAATTATGAAAAAATTCACAAAAAAACTTTGAATTATTTCTGATCTCATGAATATTTTTTCACATTTTTATTTTAATATTTGGTATTTTTTATATTTTTGTATTATTTACTTTCTGTTAATTACTTAAAAAATACTTTCCGACATTTTTTAATTCTGGAAAAATTCATAAATATTATTTTGCATATTTTTGACTTTTAGAAAATTTTATGGAATTTTATGTTGAGGTTTACTATTTTTGATCTATTTTATGTTTTTTTTAGCAATTTTAAATAGTTTAAAAATAGTTTTTGACTTTTAAAAATTACCAAAATTTTTATAAAAATATTTAGACCCATTTATGATTTTTCTATGGCCTTATTTTTCATTTCTTGATTAATTTGAATATAATTGATATTTTTCCTCATTATTTTCTATTTTTAAACATTTTTAACCCTTTTATTGTATATATATTAAATATATTATTATTTTTTTGATTATTTTCTGGTTTTCTTGAGTTGATTTTTTGATCATGACTTTATTAACATCACTAGATCTTAGGTGTTGAGTTCAACTCCACCAAAATGGATGAATGATTTTAATAATAGTTTGATTAAATTTTTAATTCAAAAGTGGTTTATTCCTCTTTTTGCCCTAATCCTCTTCATCTCATCCCCTTCTTATTGCACTAAGTGTTGTTGGAGCATAATCTCTATATCATGTCTCAAAACAAATGGTGCATAGATTTCTATTGACCGGCCTCAAAATAGGTGCGACTTCTATATAAGTCCACTTACGATTGCTTAACATAGCGCTAAATTTTGTCCCGATTCGAATAAATGATCATTCGTGGCCCAAACTTATGATTGCAAGCCCAAGTATGTTAATTTGATCTCTTTGATCCAATAACCTTGAGATTCATTGTGTGGAGGCTTTGGTTCTACCAATCCTCTAATGGATCTACAACACCTTTGGTCAACGCGGATCACTTAAACATCATTGATCATTAAATGGTACTTGTGTGAATTTCAAATGGATGATATACTTGACAAAAAGCAAATGCAACTTGTTGTGCGGAGGCTTTGGTTCTACCAATCCTCTAATGAGTTCCAAATGCAAGTTTCAAGATGGTAATCCAACTAACCACTAATTATTGACTTGTTTTATCTTATGCTTTTATTCTTTTTATGCTTTATGTACTATTTATTTTTTTAGCATTTACATTTCATGCCATTTTCATCTTTGCTCATTTGAGCATTTATTTTCTTGCCATTTTTACTTTGCTCACTTGAGCTTTTCTTTTCCTTTCTTAAGATACTTAATAATCAACATAAACCCTAAAAAACTCTTAATGGTACTTGGACTATTTGGTAACTATCCTTGGCATGATGGAGTATGGGAATTTTTCTTGGACTTAGGATTAGAAACCTTGGCCTATCTTGGAGACCTTGTGATCTTATCTGATTATTTTGTCTGGAGTTATTGAGGTTTACCTCAAGACATTGGGTTGCTTGATTGTTTTTGTGTGCAGGTTTTTTATGATTATATTCCCTGTTTGTAATCTGGAATTCACCCGTATACAGCCGTTACTCTGCCCAATTTTTGTGAAGACTTAATACACTTGAAGATGTCTAGTATCTTTGCTTACTTGGTTCCAATCCAAAGAATGGGAATTCTATCTTGGCTCATAATGTCAAGCTTTGGATTCTTGTTAGTTAGATGATTCTTCTCCTTAGCTTTTACGTTATGCTTTAGGATAGTCTCTTCTTCTCCTCCCATTTTCTTTAATTTCAAAAATCTTCTCCCTCCTTTTGAAAACCCTTCTTGTTTTGAAACTTGAAACACTTTCATAATAAACTTGGACTTAGGTCCATGCATTTTCAAAACATTTTCATCATTAAAATAAACTTAATAATACCTTGACATTTTTTGTGAGAAGACTAAAAGTCAATCAATCTCATTTCAAACCATTTCGCCACTTTGGCTTTTATCTTTAAACTTTTCTCAAAAGATTAGACTCTTGTCAATCCTTGTAGTGATGCAAACAACTATACTTCTACAATATGTAGGGAAGTGACATATTTTCCACTTGGGTGTTGGGTGAA